ATATATATATATGACTATTCACTAATGTTTGTGTGATTTGCAAAATTTGCTTCTAGCTACAACAGTGTGAGCAACATTTCATGTTTGCAAAAGTACAGGTGAACATTATTTGATTTCCAGACTGAAAACATCTGCTTGCGTTCTCAAATTAACCACTGTGTGAAAATGTAGCTGATTTTACTTCGGTTTTTACTGACTGAGCTGCATTGTTTTATTTCAGTTTCATTAATACTTTTCCTTTTTTAACATTTATTGTAATACATATTTGAATTAGCTTTTGATTGTTCTTTGTTTCTTTTTCTTTTCTTTATCTACTGTTTTTTTTTAAAGAATATTCCATGATTATTTATTTATCCCTGTCATTTGTGCTGTTTTTTAACCATCTTAAACACAAACACAGTAGATAAAATACATTTTATCATTTTTAACTAAAAACAAACAAACACCATAAAGTATTATGTGCATATCAAGCACTATATTGCAAGTCTTCAGAAATCATATCAGAGATTTGTATGGGGAATTTAAGTTACTTGTTCATTGAAATTTTCTCCACTTCATCTGTCTCCAAATCATATAATGATTGATGCAAAGGACAAATTTCAGTGAATTTTGACTTAAATTGTAGTCTGTCACAAAAAGCTATTACAGGAATTCAAGAGACTGAACATGAGTCAGTTTGATTACTTTTATGCTGCATATTTAATCATTTATGGAGGTTGACTGGCATCGTCACAGTGAACTGGCTTTGTATGGAAAATACCTGCATGAAGATTTTTCAAAACTTCTCTTTAAAAGAAAAAAAAAAAGCATCCAAGTTTGGAATGACCTAAGAGTGGCTAAATAATTATGTTTTTTAAACTAGACTTTTATATATCTTCTACATCTCTCTTTACAGCTATTTCCCTTTATTATGTAAAGCATTTTAAATGAACATTTTGGTCTATATAAAATATGCAACAACATAAATACATACGCTTTGCCTTGACTAGTTTGAATTTAAAATAGTTGGTTTAACTAATTAAAGTACCTGTCAAGTTTCTAAATGACAAATTGCTGTTGGTGTGATTTTTGTTCTTCAGTTATTGTGAGCTGCAAATCAGTTTTTCAGTCTGGCTATCAAACTGGTCCAGACATGATTAACTTGCTTGTTGGGGTATTGCATGTACTGTAGACTCTAGTCGACAAATGAGTTCTTTTAAATGACTTCATGGACTGAAATTTTCCACACATTTGCAACTATCCCCACAAATCACTGCGAGCTGAGCGCGTCCAAAAAGAGCTGGATAGAATCTGTTAATGAAAATGAAATATCTCTAGTATTAGCACAAGTTACAAGAGTCAAAATGGCCTGAAGTGTCTGATTCTGTGCAAAATTCACAGTTCACACAGCATAGACTAACACCTGTGAGCTGCACAGTAAGATCAGCGGTGTATGTGTGTGTTTGTGTGTGTGTGTGTGAGTGTGAGTGTGAGTGTGTGTGTGTGTGTGTGTGTGTGTGTGTGTGTGTGTGGCAGGTAGTACAGTCGCAGTCTTGCAGTGGTATCTGTGGTTCCGGTCTACTTCTCTGCACGCTGGACGGATGTTGGAGAGGTGCACATGCACCGTACAGGTATGTCTCAGCAGACAATCTAGCGCTCACAAAAGCCGCAAAACAGCCTCAAAATACGCTCTCAGGCATGGGTCGGCTCGCGTGTCGGTGCATCGCAGGTGCACGTTGGGAACAGTGGTTAAGGAGCTTGACAAACAGCCGTTTTCGTATGTGAAAATCAGTTGCATCTTTATCACCTCATACCCTTGTCAAATTCCTTGTTTGGCATCTCGATGCCGTTTTCCCGCATTATTATCGATGACGAAACAGCCAACGCACACTATTTGCTGTGAAATGTATCTGACTCAACACAAAACCACAATGAGATTCAAAACAGATTTACAGAGAGCGTAAATACAGGAAAAAACAGCAGCAGTATGAGATCCAGTAGTCTCTGCCTGAGGGACAAACACACTCTTGAACACACACTGGTTGGATGTAAACTCTTATAAAATAAAGGTTCTTTTTTGGCATCTGTGGTTCTGGAGGAACCATTAACATCCATAAAACCTTTCAATGCACAAAAGATTCTTTAGTTTGTAAAATGTTATTCACACTAAGAAAAGAAATTGTTCTTTTAAGAACCGTTCACTGAACGGTTCTTTGGGTGGTTCTTCTGTGGCATAGTAGCAAAAAAAAAAGCTTTATTATTAAGAGTGTAGGAGCCATGGGAAGAGCAACAGTAACTTAACTCCTGTAGAATTTTTTTGGGTTACACTTTATTTCGATAGTCCACTTTAGACATTCTATTAACTATAAGTAACTTTGTAACTACATGTCAACTACATGTCAACTAATTCTCATTAATTTGCAACTACATGTCTACTAACTCTCAGAGTAGACTGTTAGGGTAGGTTTAGGGTTAGTAGAATAAGTTGACAAAGAAAGTGTTAGAAGATATTAAGCAGACAGTCTACTAATACTCTACTAACTGCTAGTTGACATGTAGTTGCAAAGTTACTTACTGTTAATAGAATGTCTAAAGTGCAATATCGAAATAAAGTGTTACCATTTTTTGCCTCAGCATGACATTTAGATTCTTTTAAAAGAATATGCTTGATCTGTTTTAAATTTAGAACCTCCACTATCACAGATCTGACCAAAGTCTTGAGTTGAGCAGCATGTGGTATCTAAACAGAGCAGCGCATGCATGATCTGAAGGACGCCTGCGAGAGCACACACTCAGCTCTCTCGCCGGCTGACAGGAGACCCCCAGAGCAGTGGAGCAATGCCAAGAAGGAGAACACAAGCATCGTGGGCTTGGCTTGGACCCAATGCCACGGAATTGGGCACGGAGGCATCCACACCGTCCTGAACGGGCCAGACGCGAGCAGTGCACACAACAGAAGAAGGTGTATGTGAGAGCCACAGGTGTACAGCAGATGATGTGTGTGCTGTGATATTTCCATCAGAAGCTGAAACTTAAATCTTTATAGAAAATAGAACGTGTGTAAAGAAGCAGTATAGCTGATATATCATTAATTATGTACACCATCAACTTAAGTTTTCTATTAACAATAATTCTGTGAATTTACAGATATTTGCTCACTATACAGTGGACTTAAAAAAGTCTAAATTTAAAATCTTGGACCTGCAATATAATTTAGACTAGGAAATGAACATTACATTTTGAAACAAAGAAACATTATGCTGTATAATGTGCAAGATTCTTCACTATTCCTCTTTCAATAATTAAAAAAGCTAATTCGTTACACCGATCATGTGAACTTTAGACCAAAAGTCTTGCACTGAAATCTGAGACGATCTTTGAAACATTCTCAAATCATGCTGCACAATGTAATCATCAGGGTTTTTTTTACAAACTGTGGAACTCATGCAGCTCGAATGCGGCTGTTATTAAAGCAAACAGATTTTCTGAAAGCAATGTAATTTTTTTTATTCAACTTTTTACTATTCTGATAATATGATGTACAATTAAAAAAAAGTGAACTTTTATTAGTGGTCTAAGATTTTTGAACCTCATTTAAAGTGAAACGAGGAAAAGATTTGCGTGAAGAGGAAATCAGTACATAGAAATAAATAAGTGTGCCACAAAACAATCTGAAAACAAAAACAGTGAAGAAAATAAAATTATTTATCTTTTTTTTAGTTTTAGCATTTTAATAATACAGTAGTAATTAGAGTAATTAGTAATAAAAAAAGCATTTGTGATAAAGATCATATGAAAAACTATTTTGATTATTAATAATTTTTAATAATAAATCATTTGAGATCAAGTCTATTGTGGTCATGGCTCTGAATTAATAATTTAAAAAAAACACAGCGGACGACTAGCGCATTCAAAAACAACAATTACGAGTGATATGTATTTGCGGAACTGTTAACGTCTCCAGCATGTGTTAAAAGATTTTGTCTAATGTGATTTCTGAGCTCACCAGGTGCATTTCCAAAAAAATTATCCATGTGCTTGATAACGTCTGTTTCTTATCTTCATTTAAGGCCTATACACTTGTCAACTGCTTCTGGATGCGTGCCAAACAAATGCGCACAATGCACGTGTGCGCGCTAACGACTCTTCCGAACCCCAAAATTTCACATAAAGCTGTGTGCTGGAAATCAGAAACCACAAATATTGCTTAAAAAACTTGGTTGGAGGCAAGGACACGAAATGTTTAGGAGCAATGAGCACAGTGGGCACAGCGTCTATATTACTGCTCCCCAGGGTGAAATCTATTCTCCAATAAATTGAATTAA